CCAACAAATATTTCATAAGTTTATTGTACGATTGTTTAACACGTGACTGTTTTATTTTATCAGGTATCGTCAACAAGATCCTGTCCAGTAAACAGAAGTTTATTGTACGATTGTTTAACACGTGACTGTTTTATTTGATCAGATATCGTCAACAAGATCCTTTCCAACAAACATATCAGAAGTTTATTGTACGATTGTTTAACACGTGACTGTTTTATTTGATCAGGTATCGTCAACAAGATCCTGTCCAGTAAACAGAAGTTTATTGTACTATTGTTTAACACGTGACTGTTTTATTTGATCAGGTATCGTCAACAAGATCCTGTCCTTCAAATATTTCATCCCGTTTAGTAGGATAACCTTGGAGATCTATCTTCTTCACCCATTGGTACAATGGGTTTACTTTGCTTCTCTCCATGACAGGATCTACGCGAGTCATTACATTGCAGTAAGTACAGTAGTCATTGTTCATAAAGTTATCAGTTTTATATTCCGTCTAAAATATAGTGCTTACAAGTCTGTACTTTTATTGTGTGATAAAGGTACATAATTCTATAATTTGCCTATCTTGCAAGAACACCTTTGTAAGAATGATAAGACGGGCTATCGGGGGATAGGAAGAACATACCTGACAATATTGTTTACTTAAAATCTGTAAGAATTGAAAGGAAGTTTTATAATCAACAAGCAGCGCGAGCTAATCTTGAGTTAAGTAGGCTTTGGTGAGTAACTAGTGAACATTAGCATATATTAGCTCACTTAGTTAAACGTCAGCTACAAATAAGCATTGACAAGTCACTCGTGAACACTAGTGTTCAGAAGCTTGTGATTTACTTGTAGGTTTTACATAATTAGTAGTGAGTTAGTCGTGAACACAAGCGTTCATAAGTGTACTATTTTCTCGAAGGTCATTAGTGTTTTTTACTCGTAAAATTGTGATATAATCATACACGTCAGCACTGATAAGTTACTAGGAGCACTCTCTGAACACTCATGAACTACTTGTGAGAACTGACAGTTTCATTTCTCATAAACACCACACGGTTACTTGAGAACACCAAAATTAGATAATGAGCAACATTTCAACAATATAACATGACTGACACAAGCATGACACGGTTACTTGAGAACACTATAATTAGATAATGAGCAACATTTCAACAATATAACATGACTGACAAAAGCATGAGACGGTTACTTGAGAACACTATAATTAGATAATGAGCAACATTTCAACAATATAACATGACTGACAAAAGCATGACACGGTTACTTGAGAACACTATAATTAGATAATGAGCAACATTTCAACAATATAACATGACTGACACAAGCATGACACGGTTACTTGAGAACACTATAATTAGATAATGAGCAACATTTCAACAATATAACATGACTGACACAAGCATGACACGGTTACTT